TTATTTTTAAAGGAAATATGTGTCAGCGTTTTGCTCGACGCGTGTTGCACACGTGAAAATAGCCGTGATCTTGTCGTAACACATAGTAAGGGAGCGTAGGAGGGATGAGGAGAGGAGGGGTTTGTGAGGAATAGGAAGATAAGGGCTGAGAGGACCAGCTGGTCTACGACAGCGTGTCGGGGGGTGTTGGGGGGGTGCTCGGGGGGTGAACGAGAGGGGGTAACATTGTAATTTCAGATAAGCGTCTCCCAGGAGACACGCATTGTCCCCGACCCTTCTCCTTGGGAGTATATACGTGGATTGTCACGAGGCAGTGATCGAGGGTATATGCATGTGCTCCTTGTCTCTGGTAATATATCCATGTGAAATATCTAGATCGATTAGAAAATACTGCACAATCACGAAACGAGAACAGTAATTCAAGAGAAAATCATTCGTTGGGCGGTGATTTTTCAAAATCAATTGGAAAAATCATTTTTTGCATCAATAAAATTGTAATTATTCATTCGAATAATTTTTCATTTTGTTTTTTTCTTTAATTAAATTCAATTGATAAATATAACAATTTTCAATATATAAAAAAATTATACACAAATTATAACAATAATAAACAATTATATATAAATTTTAAATTAATATATATATATTAATTATTTATATGAATATATTAATATGATATGTATAGCTTAGTTATGCGCCAAAAAAAGCTGACAAAAAACGTTACATGCTTTTTTTTTTAAAAGGGATTTCATCGAAATGCTGGTGATTGCTGATTTTCAAAAGACATTCGCAAAGACACATTAATTATTGTGAGGCATACACATACCTCAAGTGTCGCGAATGAACGGTTGGGGGTGGTGCACCAAGTTCCGTTCAATTTAAATGAAGTTGCCTCCGATTTCTCATTATCTCTCGTCACCGAGGTGCGATCAATGGAGCACACGACACATCGAGCATATACTTCACACCCCCCGCCTTCAAGTGGTCTGTATGTGTTCTCCGAGCAATCCCAAATCGTGATGATAAAGCGACGATGATAGATCCCAGGGGGAGAGACCACCAGTGGGGAGACCGAGTCGATGGGGGTGCCACGTCATGGGGGTGAATCAAATTTCTCATAATATTTGCATTCGTTTATAAAATCAACGACTTGTCTAAACAAAAATTTCATTCGCAAGAAAATCAAATCGTTAAATGACATTTCACTTCAAATATAAATACCAAATAATTCCTTAAAAAAAAGCATTTATACATATATATGTGTATATATATAACGATTAAATAAGATAAATAAGATGAATTAAAAGAATTTTTTGAAATAATGATTCATCTAGAATAAGCAATAAAAAATATTGTATTTATCAATTGGATTTAATTAAAGAAAAAAAAAATTATTGGCAATTTTTTTTAATATTTCGATTTTATTTGACAAATGATAACACCCCATTGTGTGAGCTTATTATATTATTTAAAAAAATCTTACGATTTTTTACGATTTTTTAATAATTCTTTGGTACGTACATACAATTTGTATAAATAATGAGTTATTAAAAATTAAAAATATGTAATAAAAGACAGCTTAATTGTTTATTTTGTGACATAATCTTTGGCGGTCTCTCTGGAGCTAGTGCGGATTGAAAATTCTGATTATTGAAATGAAATGAGATAGATATAATAATCCAGCGGGCGTGGCCTGCGGCATTTATTCGAACGTAAAATCCGAATGCAGCTCATTATTCAGGGACTGGCCATATTCCTAACATGTCTCAAGTTCTGGAGAAAAGGATGAAGTTTTACGGTGGAATATTATACGCACCACGTGGCGAGAACGTGGCCTGAGGCAATCGTGTGTGGCGAGTTGCAAGAAGGTGCAAAAAGGCGATACGCCTCTATATTTTTCGGCTGCTTGTTGCATCGCCCATTTTATTTTATATCTTCTCCATCCCTTCAGTCCTTAAAGGGCCCACCTATGTGCCGCACTTCGTCGACTATTATTTACTTTTTTATCGCATTTCATTCTTTTCGCTGACAACCCGCGGCGCAACTGCTGACCAGGAAAATTATGGGGATTTGCAAAATATTTGCATAAACGGGGGTGATAAAATCAGTCTATTGAATCTGATTAGATAGTTTTGTCAAGTCAGGAAGGGATTATGTCATATTATTTTTTAAGTGGATTTTCCGTTTTTTTATCGAGTGCTAAGAATAAAGGAGAAAAGCTCCGGGTTAAAAAAAAATTGTAATCGGAATATTTTTTATCAATTTTCAAAATATTTCTGGAAAACTTTTTGGAAAACTTTTTGGAAAATATTTCTTTTGAAACAAAAAATTGGGAAACAAAAAAATTTTATTTTTGGGAAATTTTTTGAAAAATTTTTTAGAAATTTTTGCGAATATCATTTTTTTTTTAAATTATACTGTTGTTTTCTTATTTTTTTGATTTTTCAATATTCTCAAAAAATACGCGATCTACATTATAAAAAAAAATTCCCTATTTAAATTTTTTTTAATTTTTCAAAACTTTTCCCAAAAATAAAATAGTTCTGTTTTCCGATTTTTTTTTCATAGGGAAAATTTGTGAAGAGTTTTCCCGGAATTTTTTGAAAATTCGGAAAAAATATTCAGATTACAATTTATTTTTTTCTTCAGAGCGAAGTGGAATGCTGGGACCGGAAAATAATTGTCCTAAAAATAAGCGATAAATATATAGACTGGTCAGTGCTCGTCTGGATAAATTCTCAGACGTTATAATATCGCGTGTTCTCTCGCCCTGAGAATTTGCATGTTTCAACGGAATTCATTGCACAGGTGTGCATCATGCATTCTTAACAGAACCCCTGCTGTTTCATCGGCGAACGAATTTAGTCGTTCAAATCCATTAAAAAGTCGGTTAATCATTTTTACTAGCACAAGCCTTTTTGCCGGGACTGTATAAAACTGAACTGCCACAGGGCCTAATAAAAATTAATTAAAAATAAATCGCGCATTGGCACCTGAGGAAGCGACTGACCTTTAAAAATTTGTGAAAATATATATCCAAAAAACGTAAGGCTCAAGTAAAAAAATCCATTACACAAAAAAGGCCCAAAAAAATAGAAAGATTTCTTGTGGTGTCACGGGGAAAAAAAATGTAATCGAAATATATTTTCCAAATTTTCAAAACATCTGGAAATTTTTTTTATGAAACAACAAAAAATCGAAAAACAAAACAATTTTATTTTTGGGAAAGGTTTTGAAAAATTTTTCAAAAATTTGAATAGGAAAATTTTCCTTATAATTTCGATGGCGTATTTTTTGAGAATATTGAAAAATCAAAAAAATAAGAAAACAATAGTATAATTAAAAGAAAACATTATATTCGTAATAATTTACAAAAAATGATAAAAAAAAATTTTCCAAACATTTCCAGAAATTTTTTGAAAATTTGGAAAAAATATTTTGATTCCAATTTTTTTTTACCCGGCTATCAAAACCCTAGGGCCCAAATAAAAAAAATCCCTCACCAAAAAAAAAATGTAATGATTTTCAGTGGCGTGTTATATTAATCATTTTCAAATCGTCAATGTCCGGAATTTTTTAATATATACGTGTCTCAGTCTATTTATCAAAGTGCTTCTATTAATTCTACCCCGAACAATCCACATTTCTCGAATGATTTATACAGCACACGCTTGTACCCTAAAACAGATTCAGAGTGGATGTACGTGTCACTAGATTGGAGGGGTGTTTTTTCGAATATCCTGAGACTGTGGTTTAAAGCCCCACCCTCTTGTAACCACCATCCGACATCGAACAATCCTCAAGCGCACTTGTGCGGTTCCCCTCGAGAGGAATTTGGCCTCAAATTAAAAGATCTTCGAGCAAAAGGAGAGACGTCCTTCCCCCATTCGATGAAATCACGATGATGTATTGGGGTGTACACCATTCTCCATCTGCCCTCCCCTCCCTTTCCCTCCCCTCCCTTTCCCTCCCCTTCCCACCCCATCCCTCCCCTTCCCACCCCATCCCTCCCTCCATCAACAACACATTACGAAAATATATTCAATCAATAATGAGTCTATATTATTTTTTTCTATATGCACTGTTTATCGAATATTTGTCTCTGAATTTCTCCTGGAGAAATTCCAGGGGAACGAGTGATGGATGGAGTACGGGATATAGTGAACGAATGAAATAATGAAATCTCGAGATTCTGCGGACGACTAAGAATTTCAATTTGTGGTCAGGAGGGTGCAGCCTTCTCAGAATAGGGGATGGCAGATTCTCCAGATATCGAGAATACATCCGACCTTTTAAAAAAAAACAGGGGTCCACTTCGAGGGTTAAAAATAATGGGGTGATATGGTGATAAAAAATTACTACTCCTCGTCAATCTCGTTGACAATGAGTCCCATTCATTCTGATCGATCAGTACTCACCAACAATCAGAGGATTTTTTGTGCTGCACTGATGTCAATAAAAGTCATCAGCCATTCTCATCAGGGAAATATTTAGATGTCTTATTAGAGTTGTCAACAATGGACATGGCGATGGGGCCGGATACACCGGATATATCATGATGGATACTATGATGATGGCCACGTTAATAGATATATAGTTACGATCAAGGTTACCTGATGGAAAGACAGACCAGAAGAAGAGACAGATCTTGTGATTCAATAAAATCAATTATCCCCGAAAATTTCAGGTACAACAATAAAAAAAATAAATAGGATTAACTGGATAATAGGATTGATTAATCTGTTGAAAAAAAATGGTAGAGACACATGGAAATATAATGGGGATTGTAAGAGGATTTGTTTTCTTGAAATAATGATGTTTACGAATCTCTTGGAAAATACAAGTAATTATTGCAGCCAATTGTGTGACATTGAATGGAGACTTCCTGAAAGGAGAAAATTAAAACTCCTCATTACTGCAATTTGTGCGTTGCGATGGAAAATAATGATGATAATTACCTAGTGTATAAAAGAATGAAAATATTTGGTTTTTCCGCAGTTCTGATCGTATCATTAACGTCGAATTTACAATTTCGAGAGGAGTATACGAGAGAGAAGGATGAAGCCGCTTCTCATGATTTTCATAATTGCTGCGGCACTAGTCGCCGCTGTCCAGAGTCAAGGTAATTTGACGAAGAAATTGTGTAATACGGGGAAAAAAATTTTCGATTGGAATCTCACCTGGGGCTGACTCGTTTCCATTAATTAATTTAATCTGTCACTACCCGGGTAAAAAAAAATTGTAATCGGAATATTTTTTCCAAATTTTCAAACATTTTCGGGAAAACTTTTCAGAATATTTCTTTTGTGAAACAAAAAAAAATCGGATAACAAAATAATTATTTTTTTGGGAGAGGTTTTGAAAAATTTTCCAAAAATTTGAATAGAATTTTTTTTTTATCATTTAAATGGCGTATTTTTTGAGAATATTGAAAAATCAGAAAAGTAAGAAAGCAACAGTATAATTAAAAGAAAAAATGATATTCGCAAAAATTTTTAGAAAATTATTTAAAAAAATTTCCGAACCAAATTTTTGAAAATTTTTCCAAACATTTTCAAAAAAAAAATTGTTTTGTTTCCCGATATTTTTTGTTAAAAAAGAAAAATTTTCCGGAAAGTTTTCCAGAAATGTTTTGAAAATTTGGAAAACAAATTCCGATTACATTTTTTTTACCCGGATAATCGGCAGTTTTTAATAAAACATTTCACGGTATCTTAGATTGTCCTCTCAGTGCATTAATTATTGTAATTACGAGATTATTTTAGGATATGGTCGTGCCGGATATGAGGGAAATGGATATGGACAGGTCGGAGGATACAGAGGGAATGATTACGGATACAACAGAAATCCATATGAACGAGATTATGAACATGGCACTCAAAATGGCAGAAATGGTTATGGAGAGGGTTACGGAGTGCCTGGGATAGCAGGAAGTCCCAGTTTCACTCTAATGCTTTGAATTTTCAAATATAATTCAGTCAGCCTATGAAATAATTCAAAGAAACTAATTATGCATTGATAAAACAAATTGATTCGAATATAAACCAAAATATTCTCAAACTTAAAGATTTGATTTTTCCCAATAAATTTTTTCTTGTGTATCATTTACAATCCCAATCACAGATTTTACGTGATCGTCATCATCGATCATCAATCGGGATCACGAAAAAGGAAGCGTAAATTACGGGATCGACCTCGTAATTTACCACATAAAAATCGTAATTTATGGAATTTCTGGACGTAATTACGTAATTTACGGGGGTTTAACTCGTAATTTACGTTTCCAAAATCGTAATGTACGAGATAAACAATTTAAATAAGTAAATTACGTTCTCAATCTCGTTTTTTAACTATCGTGTTTATCGTAAGGTTAATTCTGATTCGTATTGGTGTGAGTTTTCCATGCGAAATATACTCAGTCTTAGAAATGAAGGAAAACTTGAGCATTTCTGCGCAGTTGTCCTGCAGTTATTGAAGTACAGAAGTTCCTCCAAAGTTTGTTTGTATGGATATTCGTAGTTATTCCTGGAGCTCAAGCTTAACGTGAGTTGCAGTTCGCAAATCTTTTCTTTTCTTGAATTATTGCAATTTCTGAAACTGGAGGCAAAGAGAGATTCCTGGTCGGACTGCGATGGATTCAGACGTCTTCAGTTCTGAAGTTCATGTCCCACGGGAAAACGAAAATATACATAAAAATATTGCGTACACGAGAAAATTCTTACCGCACTACCAGAATATTTTTTCCAAATATTCAAAAAATTTCTGGAAAACATTTCAGAATTTTTTCTTTGAAACAAAAAAAAATCGGGAGACAAAACAATTGTATTTTTGGGAAATGTTTTCAAAAATTTTTCAAAAATTCGTTTCGGAATTTTTTTTTATAATTTTCTAGAAATTTTTGCGAATATAATTTTTTTTATTTTTTGATTTTTCAATATCCTCAAAAAATACGCGATCTAAATTATACAAAAAAATTTCCTATTTACATTTTTGAAAAATTTTTCAAAACCATTTCCAAAAATAAAATTACTTCCCAATTTTTTTCTGTTTCATAAAAAAAATGTTCTGAAAAGTTTTCTCGAAATTTTTTGCAAATTTGGAAAAAATATTCCGATTACAATTTTTTTTTACCCAGGTAAACATGATATGTACGATATTTTCTCGGTGTCGAGTTAATGAGAACCTGTTAATGACGGAAAAATACGCAATTCTGTAGAAATAAGAAATTACTAGAAGAGTGATCGATTATTTGCCTATCACGATAAATAATTCGATCCATTCGACTATAATAAAAGCACCGACGTTCATTACCCGCCAGTTTCTCTGAGACTGTCAAAGAAATATGAAGTTTCTGCAAACTTTCATGGTTTTGCTCATCGCAGTAGTTCTCGCCGCTCAAGGTCAAAGTAAGTTTGCATAAATAACGATAGTATCTGTTCTAATTTCCTATCAGATAATGCCTAACACAATTTGCAAGTGCTTGAATGAAAAATAAAATGATTTTTTTTGTGATAGTAAGAGGCATGGGTGGCCGTGGCGGAATGATTAGAGGAAATTACAGTGAGTACAATCAGTTAATTCATAAGAATTATTTGATGTCCAGTCATTGGTCTGCTGGTGCAATAGGTATTTACATTTTTGAATTATTCTGCAGGGCGAGGCATGATGGGAAAATAAAGACAGCACCTGTATATTTTCTCCAGAGAAATCTCTTGACATCTCTCGAAATGATTAAATAAATTACATTATTCAAATGATCTGGACTTGGAAACGATAATATAAATAAATAAAGGAATTTCAATATTGAATAAATAGTTGTGGAAAACGGGAGCAATATTTAGGTGTCTTTAGTGGTGCGTGCCTCGGTGCACCCAGTGAACCGTCTATGACAACAAATTTCATTGAAAAAAAAAGCGCAGAGAAAAAATTGAGCTGCAGAGAAGAGAACAGTGGAATGGGAGTAACGTAACTACTTCGTGTTTGTTGCAAATGAAAATGTCGCGTCAAGGTACGGGAAAATGGTGGGTGGGAAGGGGGTGAAACTGCCTGGCCCGAGTGGATACGTTACTATCAGGTTCGACCAACTGCACAGCCTCGCTTCACACGCATTTACATCTCACCTCGCTGACTCCTGTGTTATTTCTCCTTTTTTTTTTTCTTTTTCTCCCTCTCACTAATTTCTACATCGCATTTTTACCCTGTTTTATACATCTCGGAGAGTGTGAAAAACTCATGGAGATTCAGTCAGGAGGAATCGACTGAGAGTGTTGAAAAAAATTCTCGAAACTTTACACTTCGGTTCATATCAGAATTTCTTTCTCACCTTTATTTACTTTTATATTCATATTTGAATTGGAAAAGTATGGATGTCAATACTTCAATTTTAGATATTTATTTTTTCTCAGTAGGTACGTACTCGGGTTAAAAAAAATTGTAATCGGAATATGTTTCGAATTATTTTTTCGAATATTTTGTTTCGGAAATTTCTTTTTGTAATTTTCTAGAAATTTTTACGACTATAATTTTTTTCAAATTATCCCGTGGTTTTCTTACTTTTTCATTTTTCAATATTCTCAAAAAATACGCCATCTAAAATATTAAAAAAATTCCTATTTAAATTTTTGAAAAATTCATCAAAACCTTTTCTGAAAATAAAATTGTTTTGATCTCCGATTTTTTTTTGTTTCATAAAAAAAATTCTGAAAAGTTTTCCAGAAATTTTTTGAAAATTCGGAAAAAATATTCCGATTACAATTTTTTTTACCCGGGCATATAGTTTTATTAATTCCAGCATTCAATGCATATTATCCATTGGAAAACCAGGCCCGCAATTATTTAAAAAATGGTTCCCTCGTTGTCTTTTTCCATTGGCATGTGATCCAGAAAAAATGGTGAAACGTTTGGTCCTCTGGAGGGATGTTTACGTGTGTTGCGTGACTAAATCGTCCTCTCTCCCATCAGCATCCGTTCGGATGGAGAAACAATGCCCCAGGAGCCGATCGCGTGCCCAAAGGGCGACAAAAATAATAACAACAACAACAATAATAACAATAAAGCAACAAAATATTTCCTACCATTTGTTTTTATTACCCGAAAAACTTGTGGTTTCAGTGGCAAGAAAAATCTGAAATAACAATTTCCTGAAGTTTGAAAATTCTTCGCCTGAACTTTTCACTTTCTTCTTAACTACTCCAGGGTATAACCTCTACCATGCCCCACCTCCAGGACCCAATTTTTCCTTAATTAATGAGTTTATCGGAAAACTCCAATGTTGCGCCTGTCGACGGTGGCGGGTCTGCATCTCTCTCTTCCCCAATTCCAAAAGTTACTCTATACTTTGGCTCAAGGAGATCCCTCAGGGGTGTTCCACCCTTCAACCCCTCGCCACTGTTACCGTCACTCTTCGCCGCCATTTTAATTTCTCCGAAGGAACTTTCTAATTACTAACTTTTCTGATTAATCACAGTAATTAATTAGTAGCTCCGGGCTCTTTCCATCGCAAAAGAGAATTTTCTTCACTAGCCCCTTTTATCACCCTCACTCATCCCACCCCCTTTTCTCTGCTGTGCCACTTGCTCCTCCCACGCACCATTTATGAAGGCGTTTTCTTTTCATCCTCATTTTTTTAAAGATTTTTATAGTTTTTATACTTTTATGCTATAATATTAGGGGCTTTGGGCTAGATGTCTGAGAATACTTGACACAACGTGTGTAATGGCCTTGGAAAGATTTTTTTTTTCACGTTGAGATGGAATAATTACATGCATTAGTATTACCCTCTTTGGGGATGAGTTGAAAATGCTCGTTAATGTTTCAAATAATTGGAATTCACTGATTGGTCGGTAACTCGTTGGCTTTTTCGCACCTTGGTTGGTTGCCCATTTATACTCGCCTTCTTTAGGAATCAACCAGGTAGCCGATGACTCCGCACTATTCGTAGAAACTCGTTTCTCTGGTGCAGTTCGACATGGAAAAAAAATGATCAAGAGTCATGGGGGGAGATGCATTCCGAGGTAAGAGACGACCCGCAGTCTCGGAGGCTTCGTGACTGTTTCTAATTCGGAAATTGCTGGTTTCTTCTCCTCAATCATCGGTCTCTTTTTTTAAATTATTCCACATTTTTTGCGGCATGATTTTAACACTTGGTTAGACATTTTTTCAGCCATTTGGATAAATGAATTTTCCCCGGCAATGATGGCATTTGGAAAACAATATTTTCTGCATATTCACCACATTTTTTTGAATTAATAAAAAATTGTAATCGGAATATTTTTTCCAAACTTTCAAAACATTTCTCGAAAACATTTCCCAAAATTTTTCTTTGAAAAAAAAATCAGGAAAGAAACCAATTTTATTTTTGTGAAATCTCCCGAAATGTTTTGAAGAATTTTTTAAAATTTGTATCTGAAAATTTTTTAAATAATTTTCCAGAAATTTTTGCATACAATTTTTTCTTTTAATCATCCTATTGTTTCCTTACTTTTTTTATTTCTCAATATTCTCAAAAAACACGCCATCTAAATGATAAAAAAAATTATTCAAATTTCCTTGAGGTATTTTTCAAATTTTCCAATTTTTTCATGTTGGAGTGGACGGTGTAACGATACAGTCAAGTCATCATGTAATGACGTGCGGCTTGTCAGAGTGGGTCCAACCTATATAGCCTGAGTTGATATTACCTGAGCTGATGTGCAGAGGAACAAGATACGAAAGTCGTTGCGTACAGTGGGATCGACCTAAAAGCAAGATATATAAGACTCACTCTGTCTCAAGTCTCGGCATGAAGGAATAACCGCTGTTATCTCCAACATCATCTTAGACACCTGGATGAGCTCCATGAAGCTCCAAAAAGGTACATTCTTAACCCCTTCGCGCCAAGTTCAAATCTCCATCCAATCTGTCGATCGGCCAATCTCTCCCTCCAGCATAACTTAATTTTGTTCACTCCACCATTACACCCCGCCGAAAAAAAATTATTAAAAAAAAAAACAAGCCGTTATTTACTGTAAAACAAATTGCATAATCTCCTCATAATTTCGAAGACTATTTATTACCCTGTTAAATCTTAATTGACATTTCCATTTAATCCTCGATTTCATAGAAGAATAAATCAGGGATAGGAAAGATTCAAACCTGTTATTAATGTATTAGATATTTTTAATGATAGTACTCGTAATTGAAGGGTGAAATGAATACTCATATTTATTAACTACATCCACCGTTTATTCATCGACAATAATTCACCCAATTATCTCAAATAATTCATACAATCGAATCAAATGTTACTGACTACCAGAGACGCATCTATTCCTTGCTCCCCTTTTTTAATTCAACTTCCGGTGAGTCTATCACGTATTTACAATGTCGAAATATCGTACAGTATTTTATCCTGAAACCTGGAAGACACCTGTACGCTCAGAGAATAGAAAATACCATTTTCCACGAATAATTCCCGGAAAAAAAAATCCCATCAGATTATAACAGACATAATTTCCTTTTTATGAAACATCTCCCAAAACAAAATGAAGGAGTTGTGCTGGAGAAAATCGGATTTTCAGATGAAAAATCTTTTTCTTCTTCATTGTTTTATTTTTTTTTTTTTCATTAATTGTCCCCACCATTTCCCATGGGTAGGTATATCTCTCTGGGCAGACGCGTGGGTGTTCTCGAATGAGACTCACGCTGTGCCCCCACGCAAAACGATAACGATCATGCGCATACACTTGTGTTGGATCTTCCTCCCTTCTTCGATTCCATGGGCGCACGCATGGAAAAAAAAAAGTTAACAAGAAAAAAAAATCATTCTATATGTACAAACGCACGCGACGCGTATTCCGGGAGCGTAAGAACTCGACCCATGGAATAATTAACGAGCCGCCTTTACCCACCCCCTCCTTTCAGTTCCAAAAATCAAATGAAAATAAATTAGCCTGGTGCATTTCACCTTCTCGAACATACGAGTCAGGTGCATCCGTTCACAGGTTCCAGAAATAAAAAAAATTATATTTTCCGGAAGTGCTGCGTCTCAGTGTCGCCACGCATGCACGCAGATATCGGAGAATAAATGATTAAAAAAAAAAAGAAAAACTACTATTCGCAGTTCAAAAATGTTTTTGAATCACAAAAAATATTTTCCATGAAATTCATTCATTCATTATTAACTGAAATTTCATATTCCAGAAACGACTCTCATCACTCACTCAATTCAAAAATTTCTACGAAATTCATAACGCTCGTGAAATGCTCAACGAAACTCGCCAAGTTATTTATAATACAGTGATAATTCGTTATTAATTAATTCATTAATAATTGTGATGATAAAGATGATTGCAATAATTATCAAACGTCAACGCCTTTATTTATATTTAAAATTTAAAACCGTATACACAAAACGGCGTTGGACTCACTGCGTTCGTAATTACTTTGTCATCCGTTGTGGTTTAATTATTTACAAGTTAATCAACGTTGAGGTGGGCTTGTTTGGTGTGTGGTACGGAGTGGGTTGAACGATGACGTCTTGACCGAGAGGAACCGTCTCGGTTTGCGTAGGAGGCAGTATTTTTTACGATGGGTCCTCATGATCCTTGAATGCTGCTTATGGCGGCGGTGAGCGCAAGGGGTAATGGCGCGCGTATTTTTCCGTGTAGTGATACCTGAAATCATAAAAAAACAAGAAATTCCCATGAAATATTTTTAAAATGTTAAAAAAAAGGGGAGCAAAGGATAAGTTGAAAATTATGACAACTAGAATGAATAGCTGAATGCTGATGGTACCTGAAAATAAATAAAAACGGTAAAAATTTCGAGGGGTTTAGCATTAATGAGTCCCA